GTCAACCGGTTCATCCCTCTCCTGAGAAACCTGACCGGGCATCTGGTTAACAGGTTGCGGTTCAGGGACGGTGGTGTTGGGGCCTGACCGGGTCTCGAAACTGGATAAAGAGGACCCGGTCGAAGAAGAGGAGGTTGAAGATTCCTCGGATGCGCAGGCATCCGAGGAAGAAATACCTTGACTATCAGAAGAAGACATTGACCGGGAATGAAAACTGAAGAGGGAAGAGAGCTTACTTGGCTCGGAGGGCTGGAGGGCAGGAGAGAGAAGTTGACCGGTGAAACTCGAGAAACGCGCGAGGAAGAAGTGAGGAAGGCAGTGGGGATGGAAGCCTTTATATAGGCGAGGAAGAGAGAGAGGGAGGCGACGTGGCTTCACCAGGGCGCGCCGCGTCAGGCGGCGCCATCATTGCACCTGGGAAGACGAAAGGGCGCAGGTCTGACGCCGTCTAGCGGGCAACACGTGTCATAACCGACACTTTGAATTTTGAAATTCAAAAATTTCGAGCGGGAAAAGCCAAAAATTCAAATTTAAAGGTCCAGTTTTAAGTTTTTACTTCCCGCTTATGACAAAATTGCACAACCGAGAAGTGGAGGGCTTAATGATGGGTGTATTTCACCCATGACCGGTCAATGGTCAAGACCGGATAGTTGACCGGTCAAAGAAGTCAAACTTGCAAGAGAGGTCTAGATCGTCGGCGAAGGGATGACTGGTTGACCAAAAGGTTGACCGGTACGCTTAGGATAGTATACCGGTCAAACTATACCGGCGGCTAATTCACCCTATAAAGATGGCCACGCCAGCCTGCAAGAACCAACCGGTGTAGTTCCTAGAGATTGGGGAAGTGTCGGCAAGAGGAATCCAAAAGGACTTGGACTGTAGTGTTTGGAATTGCAGGGATGCTGAGGGAATATTTCCAAACCAAAACGCGACAAGGGTGCCACCCCCCGCGCAAGATGACAAGGCAGCTCAGAGCCAGTCACTTCACACCACGCTAGCAGCATGCTCCCACGTGGGCGCACGTGGTCCTGCTCCCCAGCCTAGTATATATACCTCTTGTAACTCTCGAATGAGGGGATCCGAATTCACTCTCTCTAAACTCCCTTGTAAAAGCACCCGTGCATTCTCCGTTATAATATAAATCGGGCTACAGGTGTTCCACCTAAAGTCCTACCGGTCAATTTGCGTGTTTTTACCTTTCTTACTTTGCCAAATCAAGCGAACTATTCTAGACCCAGTCTAGTATAGTTTGACCGGTCAAGTAATTTACACCATCAGAGTACATGTAGCATGCTCTAAAAAACACCATGGTTCGTTCACATATATGTTTAGGTGCAAAACTGGTATCCTGACATTAAATGTCAGGATAATGTTTTGGGGTATAAAGTGAGGTACAAATATGGAGTACATGTAGCATGCTCTAAAAAACACCGTGGTTCGTTCACATATATGTTTAGGAACCAACAAGGATGTTCCAATAAACCACGCCAAGTTAGCCTAACACAGAATGTTTTTAAGAGCGATGTTGAATATCCAACATTACACCTACAGGCAGTCACTGCATTTCAGCTCACTTCCAGAATGTTTTTCAACAGCAATGTTGAGTATCCAACATCGATTTTACAAGGAGTTCTTCTATTTTAATTCTTTTTCATATCCTTTTGGAACAGCAATGTACGCGTTCCTGCATCGATGCTATTTTTAACAAATTTTAAATCTTATCCTCAAACAATGATAAAGGGGACTGACTGAACATCGATGTAGCAACAACGATGTTGCTTGTTAAACATCGATCTCAGAGCGTAGTTTTTCAAAAATATATTCGTTATGCACAAATATTAATGCTCCAACAGCTATATTTTTTAATTCCAAACGGCTCTTTTTCTCCATTTGTATATATTCACATGCACATTCATCATTTTATCACTCATAGAAATCATTTTGATTGATATTCTAGGCATAATCTTCCCTCTTCTCAAGCTCTTCACCACAAACTCTTGCAATGGCCAAGACCGGAAAATCAAAGAGCAAGTTCAAGGCAACCACGAGCTTCACCGAGGCTCGCTTCAACTACCTCGATGGATCATTCTTATTGTTCAAAAACGAGGTGGAACTTACCCAGTTTCTCACCTACTTCGCCAACCGGGCAGTGGCTACTCCGAGGTTTCTTCTAGAGACCCATATATCTAGACAAGAAGGGCTACGATACCCTGGATGCTCAGCTCCAACAATCAGGGTTATTTCCCTTCATCTCCAAGTCCCGGAAGAACATCAATCCAGAACTTGTTCAGGCATTCTACTTCAACCTTCGGACCTCCGCCGTGAAGGAGACATCATTTACTCTATGGTTAGATCCCAACTCATAGAGCTCAGCGTGGAAAGGCTTAGACGTATCGTCGGGCTGCCATTCCAAGGAGTCGACATCTCCCACTTTGGTGGAGAAGACTGGGTGCTCAACAACTTAGGGTTGTTCATCAAAGAACTAGACATCAGCGAACTCATCCAGTATGCCACCGGACGCCTGACCATCCACTCTATCCCTCTAGAAAACCAGCTGCTACTCTACATCATCGCTTGGATTCTCAAGCCTCGAGATAGAAGCCACATGACCATGTTTGGTGAGGATCTTAAGATAATCCACGCCATCATGCACCTCGCACCAATCAATTGGGCCAAGTTTGTGATGATCCACATGGCCGATGCCGCCACCACCGCGCACAATCGGATCCTGCCCTATGCCTTCTTGGTAATAGAGATTCTCGAATGCAAAAAAATTACCATCACCACATGGCCTCTTACCAAGGCAACGAATATTTGGACCATTGATGACCAAACCTTTAAGAAGAGGTCAGAAAGCGGCACCCCTGCCTCATGCCAAACTGATGCCCATGACCGAGCCACTATCGGCTCCATAGCCGACTTTATTCGGTGTTTGAGCCCCACAATTGATGAGATGGGTAGTGCCATGGAGAGGATTGACATGACACTTCAACGCCAAGGCTATGCAATGCAATCCTACTTCGACTGTGTAAATTATTTGCCAGTGCCATACCCGTATAACTTCCTCGGTCAAGAATACACTGTATTTGACAACAAAGAGTCTTACGCC